TCTTGCCATGTTGGCTCCCAAAGAAAAAGCTTCTATTCACGGTAATCAGGGTTTATTAAAGGAAACCGTGAACAAAGTCTTTAGATGAGATTAAAGGGATTGTGTAGCTGCACTTGGTGCTGAATTGCTCCGTGCTGGCTCTGGTGCTGGGCGTCTGCCTCGTCAGCATCTCCTGCATCCCGGCCACCAGCAGCCTGAGTGCAGGAAAAGCAAACACAGCAGCGTGCTGCCTGATTAGCTGGGCTTCATTAGCCGGGCTTCATTAGCCACCCTGGCACTGCCCAGGAGCCCTGGGTGCTCCTGCCTTCCTCCCAGCCAGGTGGGCAACTCACCCCGTCAGGGGTGCTGACAGGCCCTGTCCATGAGGATGAGCTGAGTTCCCCCTCCCTCCCAGAGCTGTTTTTCAGCTCATTTTGGTTGTATTCAAGGCTTTAACATGTATTTTTTGCTCCGAGCTGGACCCAGAGTGGGATTGCCTCTATGGCTTTCTGTATCCAGGCTCCTCCTGCTGACTTTGTGGCGTCCCTGCTGTCACACGTGGCCGTGGCAGGGGACCTGGTGACGTGGCTCTGTCTGACACCTCTGATGGCAGGAGGGCTGTGTGTGTGTCTCTGAGGGAAATGCTGTGGTAATCACATGTCCTCTGAGCAGAGAGAGAGACGCAGCTCTCCCAGGATTTTCCTGGGAAGCTGTGAGAAGCTGTGGGAAACTTGGAGAGAAGAACTCAAACATTTATTATCTCTCTTTCTGTAACCATTGTTTAGAGACATGCTTCTCTAGACTGTGCTACTCATAGTTCACCAAGAGTACGAGAGAAGATTCCTAAAGGTCAATCAGGTCTTGGGTCCACCACTGTTTCTGCAAGAACTGTAGATTTCTAATATTAAGGTGTCTTTTCATGCCTTCTGAGGATGGAGTCTCTGTATCACCTTTGGCTGTCCCTGACACCCCTTTGGTGATAAAATGCTGTTGTCTCATGCTCATCCAGTGACCTGCTCCTTTCAGGAGCTGTCACTGGAGTGGGGTGGATTTGTCCCAGACTCCAGTTTAGGGACATGACCATGGATTTTGTGAAATTGTCAATCAAAACCCAGCTCTCTCTTTCCCCTCTCTCTGTACACTTCCTCCTGAGTCCTTCCCTCTCTCTCAGCTGACAGATCAGTCCTTTGTGTCTTCTTTATTCCTGATTTATTCCTACTTCCTCAGGCATAAATCCTTGACTTTGTCCCCTTGAATGCTGCTGCATTTTGAGGATGTATTCATCATTCCCTAAATTTCCCATCTAATAATCAGAGTTAAAAGACATGTGGATGTTTCTTCCTCTGAGACTCCTTCACACCCAAGCTGTTTTTGCCCAGAATCCCATGTATTTACCACAGAGTTTCATGTTCTGGAGTCTTGGGATTGTGTCCTGGAGATCCCTGAGCAGAACTAAACTGAAACCTTTAACTCAGTGGTCTCAAACCTTTGCTGGAAATGCTTAATAACAGCAAAAAAAGAGTAACCAGACTGTGGGGTAGCACCATCACTTGCTGTTCTCCAGGAGCAAACCAGTATTTAAACCAAACTCCAGGACTTCAAAGCATCTCCTGGGGAATGTGTTATTTGCAAGCCATAAAGCTGTGATTCCACAGGCAGGACAGTGGTGTGAAACCTCTGAAACAGCTGTCTGAAACAGCTGGATTTGCTCTGTGACCTTCCCAGGGACCTTGGGTGTGCTGATGGAGAGGCTGCTGTGGCAGGAGCCACGTTGAGGGGTGACCTGGAGCCCTGTGTGGTGCTCATGGCATCCCTGCTGGCCACATCCCCAGTGGAGAAGGCAGTTTGGGCTTATTTTGGAAAAAGCCAGCTCAGAGCCCAAGTCCAGCCCTTGCTGGCTGTGGCCTTTTGTTTATTTGCTTTGTTTTTAGAATATAATTACTCTCTTGTAGTCTCTGCATGTCCATGGCACTGTATTATTGCCTTCCCAGCTGCTGTGATTCCTGCCATCCAGACACAGGGAAAAAAAAACCCCATCCACAACCCCCTTCTCCTTGGTGCATCCTCTGAGGGCTTGTACAAACCCTGCTCTATTCTGCAGCTAAACATCCAGGCCTCCTTGCCCCTGACCTCTGCTGTTATTTATTAATTAAGCCAAATTATAAATTATAGCCCTCCGAGGCTCCAGGACTGATTTGGGCTCCAGGACAGAGGGTACAGCAGGAGCAGATGGGAGAGGAGAGAGTGCCAGCAGCAAGCAGAGAGAAAATCCTGCTCCTAGGGTCACTCAGATGGCTGCTGGAAGATGGCAAAATAGCCCCAGGCTCTCCCTGCTTTGTCCCAAAAAGCTGCTCCTGTGCATTCCTGGTGCTCTCAGGCTGCTGGTGCTCCTTCCTCTGCAGGTGAACTTCCTCCCCCATGAGGTTCAGTGTTTTGGAAAGCACCCTTGCCTGCTGTAAAGCCTTCCTGGGGTTTCTCACTGGAGTCTCTCTGGTTTCCAGATGAAATTTGCTGTCTTTGCCTGGAGGGATCACAGAATGGTTTGGGCTGGAAGGGATCTAGCAAGGTTCTCCTCATCATTCCTTTCCTCTGTGAGTGATAATCTGACCTCAAATCAATCCTCACCTGCATGGGCCTCGAAGAATTTATGCCTGGAGCCTGTCTCTTCTCATTTTGTGTTGGCTGTGTGTTTTAATGGGCAGATTTTATCCCATTTTTGCAGGTGCTGTGATGAATTTTGGACAGAGGGGCTGCTCAGTATCAGCCTTGGGATTGCAGCAGTTCCCATTTCCCTGCCCTGCAGCTCTGCTGACTCTGCAGAGCAAAATACAGTAAAATAGAGGGGTAAAGCAGATACCTTTTTAGTACTTGAAAAGAATAATTCCTCCCTAGATCTGCCTAGCTCCTGATCAAACCAGTGCCTGTTAGAAACGTGGATCATAACTCATCAGTGACGGGAGCCGGTGCTCAGGGTCACCACGTGATGCTTCTGAACACAGGGCTCAAAGAGGGACAGCTTCCCTCTTCTGCTCTCTCAAGGATGGGCCCTTTTGAAAGAGGAATGGTTGTGTGGGGACAGCTCATCCCACCACTGCTCTATCCATCATAATAAAGGTTATTAACAGCCTACGTGACCAGCCTGCCTATCCCTGCAGAGACAGTCCTGCAAACTCTGCACTATAAGCTCGCTTTTATTAAATATTTGCTTGACCAGAGAGGCAAAGCAGAACAGGGTAAACATGACTAAAGTAAATGTGGGCTGACCTTTGTCCATCATCCATGCAACGCCTGTGGCTGCTGCGGCAGGGAGGGCAGCGGGAGGTGAAGGTGATCCTACAGCAGCTTTTGGGAATTCCGGCTGCTCTGCCAGGATTTTGAAATATTTGGGGTGGCATTAAAAGTGGTGGCTGCTCTACAAGCCCAGACTTACCCTTTCCACTATCAGATCTAATCAGCCTACGGGTCAAAAGAATGTGGGATTTATTCTCCCTATTATTTTTCGAAGTAAATTTTTCAGTTTCACCGGCGTTAGCAGAGCTGCAGAGATATGAAAAAGCTGCACATCCAGGCCTGTGTCACTGTCACATCTTCCTCCCTGCTGGGATCTGCACACAGGGATTTTTTCCTTGCTTCCTACTTGTGCAAGCCTGGCTGTCACCACTGATTACACCCCTGATTTCAGCAAATTCACTCTGTGACAGAGGGGCTGGGACACTGCGGGAGTGGAGCTGTGTTTGGCTCGTGCCCTTTTAAAAATCAAGAGCAGCTTTGTGAAGTTCTGATCTGGATGACAGAGGAATGAAGGGCCTGGCCACCAGGTTTGTGTGGTCAGCACTCAGTGAGGAGCTTGGCTTGTGAGGCCTGAGCTGGTAGAACTCCATGTCCCACATGCTCTGTGGGGCCATGAAGGGGTAAAGCTGTTCTTAGCACAGAAGCAACCAAAAAAGTGAAGGAAAATGGAGGAGATGGATGTGCTGAGCAGGAAGGGGTGTTTCCATGGGGCTTGGTGATGTGCCCACCAAATGTATGAACCCCATACTGCTCCCATCACCATGGCCAAAACCTGGGAGACTTTCAGGGACTGAGTGGTGCAAGGGAAACCTCTTTCCTCTCTTTGGAAAGTACCAGCCTGGTCCTTGGGTCATTGTTTCTCCTACTTCACGGTGCTTTAGGCTTTATCACTGCTGGTAGATAAGCAACCTCTTGTTCCTCAGTGAGCTGAGATCCCCAGGAGAGCTGGATCTCTTTTAGATGATGTTCCCTTGGCTGTGAAGTGGGTGGAGAGTGGTCTGTGGTGAGAGCCCAGGGGAGAGAGGACACCCGGTGCTCCTTTTGCTCCCAGCCCTTTGCAGAGGTGGCAGTGACAGCTGGCACACCACAACCCCTGGGTCTGTACTGCAGGCTGGGCTGGTGTGAGGCAGCTTTGATGGGGAAGCCACAGAGCTCCTGCTCAAACAGAACTGTTCTGGGCTGGGATCTCCCTGAAATGATGTTAATGTCACACCAGAGCTGGCTCCTTCCTGGCAAACTTCAGGGGCTGCGGGAGAGCTCAGCATCCATCTGGCTCTATCCCTGCAGGCAGATCCCTGACCTTCTCTAGGCTTCAGTGCCTTGTCCAGAAGAGCAGGATAATAATCCTTCTCCAGTTCTGGCGTCTCAGATAGCAAATCCACAGTTGGGCTGGTGCTGGCAGTGCAAACAGCAACGCTGGGTGATGTTTTTACCATTACCCTGCTGCACTTGCAGTCAATATTTATGCTGCACCGTGGGGCACGTGGGTGTGTAATGGAGAGGGAAAGGGTGCTGATTTATTACTCTGCTGTGTGATTTCTGCTTTTTCTCCCAGCATCTTTTCTGTCAGGAGGGCTCCCTTTGTGCTGGTTTTAAGTAGAGAGCTCAGAGTGGAGAAAGGGAGGATTAGCAATTAAATACGCTCTGATGATGGCATGGTTGTGAAGGAGGGAGGAGGAAGGAATACTCCATAGTAATGTACTTTTGTTTTCTTTTTTCTCTGCTTGTAGGGCAGAATCTGCCAGGGAATTGGCGTTTTGAGGAGTTTTACAGCTTCTAATCCTTGTTGCCTTGGGAATACAAACCTCTCTAATCATGTCGCCGGCCATGTGGAAATGGACTTGCCTGGTTTCTCACCTCCTGCTGTCCACCACAGTGTCACCTCTGGGCAGACAGCAGCCACCCCATCCAAAGAGACCCTTCATCACCTTCACCGGAGAGCAAGCAGAGGGAAACTTCAACCACTTGGTGGTGGACGAAAGGACTGGGCACATTTACCTGGGGGCTGTCAACAGGATCTACAAACTCTCCAGTGACCTGAAGGTCCTGGTGACCCACGAGACTGGTCCTGATGATGACAATCCCAAGTGTTATCCTCCCAGGATAGTCCAAACCTGCAATGAACCCCTGACGCCCACCAACAACATCAACAAAATGCTCCTCATAGACTACAAGGAGAATCGGTTGATAGCTTGTGGGAGTCTGTACCAGGGCATCTGCAAGCTCCTGAGGCTGGACGACCTCTTCAAGCTGGGAGAGCCCTTCCACAAGAAGGAGCATTACCTCTCTGGGGTGAACGAGAGTGGCTCTGTTTTTGGAGTCATTGTTTCTTACAGCAACATGGATGACAAGCTGTTCATCGCCACGGCCGTGGATGGCAAACCGGAGTATTTCCCCACCATCTCCAGCAGAAAGCTCACCAAGAACTCCGAGGCTGATGGGATGTTTGCATATGTCTTTCACGACGAGTTTGTGGCCTCTATGATCAAGATCCCCTCAGACACCTTCACCATCATCCCCGACTTTGATATCTACTACATCTACGGCTTCAGCAGCGGGAACTTTGTCTACTTCCTGACTCTGCAGCCTGAGATGATCTCCCCACCTGGCTCCACCACAAAGGAGCAGGTTTATACCTCCAAGCTGGTGAGGCTTTGCAAGGAGGACACGGCCTTTAACTCCTACGTGGAGGTGCCCATTGGCTGTGAGAAGAACGGGGTGGAATATCGATTGCTGCAGGCTGCCTACTTGTCAAAGGCTGGGGCCATCCTGGCCAGGTCTCTGGGAGTTGGCCCTGAGGATGATATCCTCTTCACAGTCTTCTCCAAGGGGCAGAAAAGGAAGATGAAGTCCTTGGATGAGTCTGCTCTTTGCATCTTTGTCCTGAAAAACATCAACGACCGCATCAAGGACAGGCTTCAGTCCTGCTACAGGGGAGAGGGGACGTTAGACCTGGCCTGGCTCAAGGTCAAGGACATTCCCTGTAGCAGCGCGGTAAGTGGAGCCCCTGAGCACCCCACCTTGCCCTCCTCAGCCGTCAACAGGTCTTGTCCTCAGATAACCCACCTTAAAGCAGAGACCAAGGAGCTGAGACTGCCTTGTCCCAGTGCTGACTCTGCCTCCAGCTCACCACACCACCCAATTTAACCAGTTCATGCCCCAGTTAGCTCATGGACAAGCTGGTGAAGGTATCAGAACAAGGAGACATGCTGTGTTTGCTGATGAGCTGAACCAAGGGGCCTTGGAATGTTTGGGAGGGATGTGCCTATTGTAGTTACTTCATGGTGCAAATCACAGTGGTGAAATCACTTAGACCCAGGTGCACTCTCAGCTCAAACCTAAACCAAAACAGGACCTAGAGATGTCACAGCTTGTGCCAGTTTCTGTGTATGCTAGTGTAATTTTGCTTCCCTGGGCTGTAGCTGGGGCAGGATTTATTCAGGGAACTTTATGAAGCCAGAGCTTCATTTCTTCCAGGGCTGAGAAGCACTGGCCATTAACCATCAAAGCCCCTCGCCTTCCGGTCTCCAGCCAGCTCCTCACTGAGAAATTAAGGCCTGGCTGCAGATCAAGGATTAAACACTGCAAGATTTAAGGGCAGGATTGGGGAAGAGGCTGGTCTGCCTGACCTACAAATGGTCTGAAGAAATTGCCTCGGTTTATTCTGGGTGCCATTGCAGGAATGTGCACAGGGCTGGCTTTGATGGCAGGCACAGACACGGGCATTACAGCGGCACCGCGCCCAGGGCTGCAGGAGCCGCTCCCTGGGCTTTGATTCCCACCCTTAATTAGCTCTTTCAAGTGAGAGTTCCAGTCTGAGCAAAGGGAAAAGCCAGAGTGCTTTCCTGCCCCGAAATCTCCAGGCAGGCAGTGCTTAGGTATGGTTGATGCCCCGTGTGAGGAGACGTGAATCTTGACTCCATGTTTCAGAAGGCTGATTTATTATATTGTGATAGATATTCTATTAAAATGATATATTAAAAACTATACTAAAAGAATAGAGAGAAAAGATTAATCAGAAGGCTAGAAAGAACAGGAATGGAGTGATAACAAAGGCTTGTGACTCTTAGAGAGCCCAAGCCAGCTGACTGTGATTGGCCATTAATTAGAAACAACCAACATGCACTGATCACAGATGCACCTGTTGGTAAACAATGTCCAGACCACATTCCACAGCCATCAGATAGTTAATTGTTTACATTTCTTTTCTGAGGCTTCTCAGTTAGAATAGGAGAAAAATCCTAGTAAGGATTTTTCATAAAATATCATGGCTACACTTAGGATATGGGATTGCTCCTTGGTGCTCAAGCCTTGTTCGCTGGGGGCTTCTTCTCATGCTCCAAGGACAGACCATGAGGAATGTGGATGGCAGTCTCATTGCAAGGACACTGATCCTGCCTTACTCTGCCCTAATTCCCCTTTACACCCCTCAGTGTCCTTGTTTGACCTTGCCCTGCTCTCATCCTCCCACACCGAAGGGACAAGTCCTTGATTTCAGCTGGGATCTCCTCTGCCTCGACCCGCAGAGCTCCCTGTGGAGCGCTGCACAGGGAGAAAGGCTCTGCCTAAATCTGGCTTTGATTTTTTTGTTTAGCCTCAAGGCCTGTGCACATTCAAAGAGCTGCCTTTAGATTTAAGCTGGGAGCTTCCCACTGGAGTTTCTTTCCTGGGCTCTTAAGCCTCTCCATGCATTTGCATATTTGCTCTGCTTGTGCTCCACACTAACGTTTGCAGTGCTGGACGTTTCCAATTAGGAGGCTTGAAACATCTCAGTCCTGCCTTCTATGGCTTTAGACAGGAGCAAAAAAAAAGCCAACAGCTTTCTTGTGTCCCATGGGGTGAGTCCCAAACAAAAAAAACTGGTGTCAGACTGAGTAGGGACAGGACTGCAGAGCTTGGAGAGAGGACACGGTGGGGAAAAGTGTTAGAGCATATTTATGAGTGTACATCTTCACTGTGAATCAGAGACACTGCAAAAGGACCTGGAGATGCTTGAATTAAAAGCAGGATGTCTAAAGTGTGTAACTAAGTAGGCTGTGCTCTCCTTAAATGAGCCTACTTGGAGCTGCTGGCAAGCCCTGCCTGAGATCAGCTGTGCTGCCTGAGGGAAGAGGTATTAGTGACTTGGCTGCTGAAAGGGGCTGCAGAGTCCAGCTGCTAAGCTTGGAAAATATTTGATGGTTGGTGAAGTATTTTGGAGGCTGGATGTGTGTCTGTGAGAGCCTGGTCTCCTCTGCTGATGTCCTGCTTGCCAGGCAAGCCCCAGCACTGCTGCTCTGCCACTCACACATGTGTTAGAGCAGCTCTAAAAGCAATCACAGAGCCATCAGTGAGCCTTTCCCTGTGTTTGTGGGCATGTCAAATGTTACCCTGCTGGTACAAACAGAGTTTTAACCTGCCTGTGGTCCAGGCTGGAAGTGAACTTCAGCTTTGCTGCCCTGCCTCTGGCAGCTGAAATCCTGTATGAGAACAGGTCCAGCTGATGTGCTGGGCACTGAGCATTTCAAAGTGAGAGGAGAGATTTGGATTAGGTTTTAGGGAGAAATTCTTTACACAGAGGGTAGTGAGGAATTGGAACAGCTCGCCTAGAGCAGCTGTGGCTGCCCCTGGATCCCTGGAAATGTCCAAGGCCAGGTTGGACAGGGCTTGGAGCACCCTGGGATGGTGGAAGGTGTCTCTGCCATGGAAGGGGGTGGCACTGGATGGGCTTTAAGATCCTTTTCAACCCAAGCCATTCTGTGATTATTTGTAGGGCTGATGAGCTGGGTTCACTGCTCTGTCCTTGCCCATCAAGGCACCAATTTGTTTTAGTAACAAATATTCTTCTAATTTTTCTAATATTTCTAACAGGGCAATAACTGACTCAAAGGGGATCCACATGACAGAACCCACATACTTCTGCTCCTGCCTTGGTGTAATCCTTGCTCAAAGCTATTTCAGGGCTAGAGAAATCTCCTGGGGGCTATTTCCAGCACAACTATCCTAACCTGCACACAAATAATTCCATGGATGTGGGGGAACAGTGCTCTGGTCCCCAGCAGCAGATTCTGCAGCTCCTCTGGTCAGGCAGCTTGGTTACATCTGGAGCTGAGAGAGTTGAGGTCAGGAAAGACCTTGGCTGGACAAACTTTGTCTCATGGTCAGTATTCAGCAGGAGGCATTGGGTCCCCAGATGTCCTGCAGGTCTGGATGTCCTGAAGACTTGTTCCAGAAAGGTCAAGGCAAAGACAAAACAAAAAAAAAAAAAAACTCTGTGATAAGCCTGTGCTTGCCCCCAAATGCCTGTTGTAGATGTCAGCAGCGTGGTAGCAGAATTTCTAGAGTGGGAAAGGTGAAAGTCCAGAGATGAATGGAGAATCCTCAGTGTTCATTCCTCTCCCATCCCTGTGTTACAGCTGTCCTCCCATTCATCTTCAGCATAAATCGAAAAAAAATGACAGATTTTTATGTCTGGGCAGTTGATTTGCAAATTGGTGATGTTCACTCAGGTGATGAATGGTCTCAGGTAATGCCTCTCTGCAAAAGCAGGATAATAGCTTATATTTAAGCAGTACACTTGACCCCAAATGCTTAGAAATTCATATAATCAGAGAAAAACGAGGCTGGGAAAAAAAAGGATTCTTATGAGGTCATCTGATTTGCCCTTCTGCCCTACTTATAACGCTTCTGACAGATGTTTGTCTCACCTGTTCTTAACCTCTGGCTATGGAGATTCCTCTCTCTCCCTAAAATCTGTCTGTGCTGTGAGGAAGCTCTCCCTCATGTCAAATCTAAATCTCCTCTCTGGATACTGAAGCCCTTCCTCCTTATACACTCAGAGGGCACCTTCAAACCCTGTGGACGTGCAGGGTGTTGGCAGAGGCAGGGGAAAAAAGGAGGGGAAAAATTAGGCTCCTTAAAACAGAAAAGCAGCTTCATGTTGGGTAAAGAATGCTGTGGTTTCAATGTCCTTCATAAACTTTGTAATGGAGCAGCCTGACCTGGTTGAAGTTATCCCTGCTCATGGCAGGAGGCTGCACTAGATGAACTTTTAAGGTCCTTTCCAACCATTCTGTGGTTCTCTGACAGTGTTGGGAAATGCTGGATTTCTTTAAAAAAATAAAAAAGGGGGAAATAAAAGGCAGTTTGAGAGGAGGATGGAGATGTAAACATGTCATTTCTGTACAGGAGTTGATCATTGGGGGATTTGTTGATTGTCATTAGAATGAAAATATTAATGGCATTTTGAAGCCTGGTGGGAGTTCCACTCCTGGGATGCTCAGCAGAGGAGGCAGGGCAGCCTTCCCCTCTGCCTTGGGGACCAGGCAGGTGAAAGCTGTGAGCCAAAAAGTATGGATGAAGAAGAGGAGGGTACTGGAGACTGACCCCAGAGCAGCCTGAGGGCATCAGGGCTGTGGGGAGAGGAGAGGAGCAGGGATCCTGCTGGAACTTGAGCTGGCAATGAAGTCCCAAACCCGGGGTGCTGTTGGCATGTGACGCTGGCTGTGAGCTCAGGAGCTGCTCACACCCCAGGGCTGCTCTCCTGGGAGATCCTGGCCTCCTCCTCACCCTGATCCACCTCCCAGACTAAGAGACTCCAGTCCCTGCCATTAAAAGGAGTCACCTGCACCACTGCGGCTTCCACCAGATATGCAGCACCAATATCTGCCTGAGATAATCAAAGTGTCACTCTCCAGCTCCTGCCTGCTTCTGCCTTTTGCTGGTATTTTCCTTTCCTTTTGGCAGGAAATGGGGTTTGACTGTTTAAATTGCTGTGTTCAGTCTCTTCCTGTTTTTCATGGCAGCGCTGTCACTTGGGGGAGAACAGAAATGTTTTCAAAGCTGACTGGCCAACAAAAGGCCTTGTGTGAAGAGCTGGGCAATATTTTCCCAACACTTTGCTACCAGAAGTGGATGTTTGGGTCCCAAGCCATTGTCTGACGAGTGACTTGGCTGTGAAGGCTTCCTGTGCTTCTGCTGGCTCTTGGTAACTCCCCAAAACCTCTTTGCAGATG